CTGTTCGGCCGTCCAGCCGGTACATGCCATAACCATTCGACGATAGTTCTGACCCAACACCACGTTCTTCGACTTCAAACGATCCACCTCGGCAAGTATCTCTTGATTGAAATCTTGATAGCATTTGATGCGTTGCTGCAGAATCTCAGGAGAAATCAGAGACTTGAGATAGGCTTCCTGCTTTTCGGAAAACCCTGATGTAGGATCGAACGTTTCGGGGAAAAGAGCATCAAATTCCGTCATGTCGACCCCAGAATCTTGATCCGCATCTCCAACTATCGTCATCTTGGAAGGCTCGAAGTCGCCACCATGTATCTCTTTGAGCGTCACGAGAAGATCTTCAGATGACCTTTCCAAATTTTTGATCCGTCTGCTTAGTTCGACCCGATCAGAAGACTTGCTCTTGAGGTCGTCCAGTTTCTTCTGTTCTATTTGGCGGGCCTTGGCAGTCTCGCGTATTTTGGAATGCCAATGTTCAAACTTCTCTTGCTTCTTGGACAAGTCGGTGGCTAGTTCTTTGTCGATCCCACCTAATGTCTCCTGTACTATTGCGCTAATCTGGGCCATTGTTGCTTCAAGTTGTTAGTATATCTTGATCACTAGGATTTGAGGGAGAGGTCCCGCACCATCAAAGATTTCTTTCTTTGTTTTGGCCAGATGATCAATGAAAGAGTCATTCTTGCTTCCGCCTTGTTGGGATTGAGCATTGGGGTCAACCATATCCACGCCGACGCCATAGTCGGCAGGACGGAGACCAGTGTGATTAGGTATATGAGGGTCAGCACCAACTTCTAGTAATTGAGGCACTAAGACAGAGCGCGCTCGCCCGGCAAGATTAAGTGCTGTGTCCCCTTGATCATCCCGAAGGTTGACAATTTCCGAAATAAATCTGCCCAGGGTAATGACTTCGCCTGTTTGAGTTTTATTACCATTGGTGCCCTCAACCCCATTCGGGGGCTGCTGGCTTATGGACGTGCCTCCATGGCGGACGATGAACTCCAGTAGAGCCTCCAAATAGTGCTTCGCGGACACATGTCCACCACCACCAGTCGCAGCCATCACTGCGATGTGGTGCAGGATCGTGCGTCCACTATAGTCAACCATGTCTATGGTGGGAGCCAGCACCTGTAATAAGCGCGGAAAGCTTCTGTAATCGAGGTTGTTTCTTGTCCCAACGGATTTTTGTAAAGCAGTTTCGCCCGCACCGTTTAAACGATAAATGCTCACGCCTTTCTCGACGAGCGCATAGATAAGAGGCATACGAGCAAGCATTGCTGCCCAATGAAGAGCGTTGTTGCGGTATTCGTCAAGTGGAATTTCAAGATCTTCACCAGTGAGTTGCAACAATGCCGGATGGTTGGAGAAATCCTTGGTCCTCTTGTCAAGGAACAAGGTCATGATGAGCTTCATCTTCTGAAATCTTTCTGGAGTTGTGGCAGGAGGCAGAGGATCTGACCCATGCCTGTCGACATCCACCATAGAAGCGGGCCCGTCCATCTCCTGGTAGAAAGAGTCGTTCGGTTCTGTCGGGGTAGGTTCTTGCATGGACAAGGAAGAGTGCTCCCGTTGGAGCCCGAAAGATGGCATATGGTTTGAAGACGACCTGATACGCTTACGAGGTGGCTCGATCGACTCTTCTGTTTCGAAGGCGGCGACATCAGGGCCATTGAATCGGCCATTGCTCTGTGCATTGCTGCCAAATTCACTGTCGGAGGCCACGCTGTACATGCTCTGCTGACTGCTGAAGGTGGGGAGCTGAGACTCCTGGCTGCCGATCTGATGTGACGACTTTCGCATGATACTCGAGCGCCTACTATCGGCGTTTCTTGCTGCAGGTGAATCGAACCGAGCTTTGCTGATAGCGTTGACAGCCGTTGCAGCGGTCCGGGAAATATTCTGGAAGAAGGTACCCTGCTGCGGTTGCGACATCCCGCGGTTATCCACACCGCTATAAAGCCTCTTCCTCTGCGCTGCCATCGCTTGCTCCTTTGTAGGGGTGTCTAGAGTGTCATGGCCAGCATTTGCGGTGCCGTTGGGTCCCATGTCGTATTCGAGAAGTGGTCTCAATAACTCCTCGACATGATACTCACGGCAAAGCTCGACGCCTCTCTGATAATTCACCCATGTTCCTTGGTATTTTCCATAGCCTCCCTGAACTTTCTCATGTTCGCCTGCAGCAATTTCTTTCTCAAGAGTTTTCGTTCTTCGAGCTTTGACAACGCCAGCTACTTTGAGGATTTGAGTAGCATTCAACCAGGAATCGGAACGACGCTTCATAACGGCAACACCATTTACTTCCATTTCGTAGACCGAGACGTTGGAATACACAGCCTTGAACAAGAAAAATCGTCAGTAAATAGAATTGCAATATCAAGGGATAAACCGACTTTGTAGATCTGCGGTCTATATTCCTCTTGATACTGCACCATTGCCCCATAGCCATTCGTATCATCAAACCCTCCAAAGCTGCCTCTTGCGCCACCTGGAAGACCATTTGGATAACTAAAGGACATCGATTGCTGCGAGCTTTTCGGAGGGGGTGTCGCTCGAGGCGTCGACGCGACGGACTGGGAAGCATTGAAAGATCCCATTTGTGACTGAGAGAAAGCTATCCCATTGGCGGAACCTAAGCTGCTTTGAGAGTACGACATGGGCAAGCTGGGCCGTGGAGGATGGTAATTGTTGGAAGTCATCACTTGGAGGTCCCGTTTCTGCCGAACCCTGACAACATGCACATGCGTGGTCTGAGCGTGATGTGTCAGTACAAAATGCGACTCCTCATATAATCATCAATACCCTTCCAGTTCATTTGGGGAATAAGCAAAAATGAAGGGAAATTTCGGGTCTGGACAAGGATGAAATGGAGTGGGGAATCGCACCTATTCAATAACTACCAAACAGGTGAGTCGCGCGAGGAGGCAACGAAGGGCGCGTGGCTGGCGCCTCGATCGTAAAAGGGATGGGAAAACAAGCCAATCTGAGCAAACGGAGAGATGTACAAGGAATAAGAACCAGAATTAATCAACCTGTAGCTATGAAATATGCATTCGCCAATTCTAGATTCAATCAGGCTGCAAATCGTGCATAGAAGTGAACGAAGATCGTGATGAGGAGTCGCGGGGCCTGACGGTCGCGTTCTCCGCTTGGCGTTTTCGCGTAACCCGAACTTAAAAAACCATCTATTTCCCTTTTCGGCCGGGGGATTGACTTGTTCTCCGCTTGATTCTTTGTCCATCGGTGATCGCGACGACTAACTGCACTGCAAGATGCAGTATAGACGGATATTCTCAATTCCATGAACTGCGATCGATAGACTTTTCCAAGTGAACAATGTCCTCCTCACCGCTCATCCCTCCCGAACAATGGCGACATCTCTTCCGTGCCTTGCTGCGCGAATGCACATATCTCCCTGATCCGATCGCTAGAGGTTACATGCATGACTATGTAGTCCGGAGATTTCGACGCTATTCCGACAAATCGCAATCTAAACTACAAGATGATTTACATCGGCAGCACCTCCTCCGCAAAACCGCAACCCAGAAACTGTCGTTGTTGAAGCGTGCCAACGAAGGCTATTCTCGCCCGCTCGAAAAAGTACTCCGGCTCTCATATGGACGAAATGGAAAGAAAAGAAGGGACTTGTTAGATGTCTTCATTGTCCCGGAAGTCCCTCCCGATGCCTTGGCCGTGGAAGGCATTCTGAAGGGGCCTTCGATGTTCGAAGATGATTGGAAACCTCCGACGATTGTGCTCGATCTCCTGAAGTCTCAATTGCGGAATGGAGTCATTTCACAGCTCAGCGATCGTTCTGTTGTTAAGACTCTGGAGCCGCCTATACCCAAGGAAAACAGCTGGGGCAAGCCGGTTGCCAAAAGTCGTCGGCGGAACATCAGGAAAAAATGGTACTACGCTGTGCTTGACAGCCTCTTGCCGCCGCTCCCCGATGCAGAGCTCGATACATTGCATGGTCTGATCTCTGGGAGAATACCATGGACACCACCGAAGAGAAGGAAAGCCGTTGGCGTTCCCCTGGACTCTCCCAGCCAGACCAGTCTTGATGTAGCATTTCTGACAGAAGGACCAAAAAAGGGGCCGACGTTTAGGGACTTCGTCAATGGACGACCTCATCAAATCACACGACGATTCATGCAACGACTCTGGAGGCGCATCTACTGCATGGTGCCGCGCTTGGAATGGGATGAGAAGAACCAAAAACATTATTTCAAGTGGGAATCGGTGAAGCCCTTTCCCCACATACCTACCGTCGTTGAACACGATCAAGTGCCAGACCTGTTCCAGAAGGTTGATGTCAACGGGAGATTAATACAGCGTCCCTCTAGGGGCCGGGTAGAGGTGGCTACGGAAGAGTAACCGCGTGCTACTTTCCGCCTTGCCCATAGCGGGCTCGAGGATTGGCATAGAGCGTGAGACCTCTCTCGCGCACAGCTCTAGCCATAGTCAGGCCATATATTAGCGCTGTCCCTTCATTTGACCAGGACGGTATTTCCCGAATCCTCGGATGATAGGTTCGCGGATCGTTATTATGTGCCTTCCGGAACTTACTCAAAGGTATCATCCTGAGACTGAAAGTACTGTGTACAGCTGGTACACCTACATGTTGTCTCCGACAATATCGCTCTGCCTCCGACAGCTGCTGGTTAAAAGAGCAAAATACTAGACATGACGTCATATAGAGAAACATCTAGGTACATGAGCGAGCATTTAGAGAGGAATCAGTGAAGACGCGATCAAGATTCCTTCTAATAAAGCCAATAATAAATCAACCAATGAAACTCTGACGAGCTGTTAGATTTCTCTGATCGTTGCAGGGTGACCCCTGAAGGTAATCGCGATAGCTCATATCGCGCGTCTTGTCATACCCCTGAACCTTCCCAAATTCGATGCGTTTTCCACCAACTGATGTGATTTTTCATCATTCAACTTATCTCTGTCATCTATTCAGTCTTTCCAGAGACGCCTCCAACGCTACATAGGACACCATGTCTCTCAAAAGGAAATCCACAGACCTGGACCCTTCAAATGCTGAGAACATCCCTCCTGAGATTGATAGCGACGATGAACGGCTAAACTACATCGAGTGGAACTGCGACCAAGTTCGTCGACGGATTCGCTCCTTCATAGAAAGCGGAGAGATGAAAATCGGCGAGTTCCAAAATGCACTTGGCGTCTCCTCGCGTTCCTACCTGGACTTTATGGGCCAGAACGGCCGCGACAAGGGCTCTGGATCATCGACATATATCAACGCGGCGCGTTTCTTCAAGAAACGCGAATTGCAAGGCATCAAGCCACCCCGGAAGAAGAGGGCCACCAAGGAATCGCAGAAAATGTTCCCGAAAAGTACGATGTGTCTAGTATTCGTCTCGACGGGGAGTCGGACCAGAGCGTCCCCGTCTGGGACACTTGTGATGTCGTTCGCGAAAAGATCAATGCGCACCTTCGTGACCCGGACGTGACCAAAGCTCAGTTCCTGCGCGATATCGCGAAAGCTGCGTATCCGGGTACAGACAAGAAACTCAATGCCAATGTGCTCAATGACTTTCTCTCCAAGCGTGGTGCCAATGCGGGTAACACAAGCAGCGTCTTCTGCGCGGCGTATGTATTCTTCGAAAAGTTGCGAATCAGAGATAACAAGCCGAAAACCAAATTTCGAGAAGAAATGGAAGCTGTCTGGCGGCATGAGGGTGGCTTTGATTGTGTGACACCATCCCATCACGGGGTCTGGATAACTAAAGGAGAAAGGCCATATGTTGACAAATATGGCATGCTGAGGATTGAACGAGTTCGATAGGGAGTTGCTGATTACTGTGTATGTATATTGGGATTAGCTAAAGTGGACTCGACTTATTCATTTCCTATCTACTTGTGGTAGACATATCTTGAGTCCTGGATAGATTCAAGATCCACAATTCCTCCGTTGTTGGAAATGCAGCAAGTGCAATGCAGCCAATGCGAGCTCTGGAAGAGGAGGGAAACCACAGTCATCCACTCTGTTTCTATCCCCAACCAGAAACTCGAACCAGCCTACCACTGTGGATGGTTACAAGCAGCATTGAATGATACAACACCATCGGCCCAGGCTGGAAAGGACAGGAGGGAAAAACAAGATGTTTCAGCGGTGGCAGCTCGTACGGCAAATGTCAAAAGAGACCAGGTCCCGACTCCTTGAATGGTCTCCGATGACCGAATCTCGTCTGTGTACGAGAAGGAAGTGTTGGATCTATAACTTGTTGGAAACTACCTGCAACATGGTGGAAGTCATGGATCTTGGAGATATGAGGTCACCTTAAATGATATGGTTGCATGTATTAAGGCCCCAGGCCCACTGCTTTCCTTGACAGACTCCTCGAGAAGAAGCTTGCATCAGTCCAGTATATTCCTCACCATCATCTAGGTATTGACAGGATTCATGCCTTCTTCCGAAGCGAGACAGGTGGAACTTCGGGCGAGAATCAGATGATCGACTAAGCCTTTATCTGGAAGGACCCCACGGAGCCGAGTTAGCCAGAATAAATACCATGGCGTCTGCTAGAATGGTCTGAGTACAGTCATGAGTGCCATGCTCGTCCTTCAATCACATAATTTCACCTAGGGATTCAGGGTCAACAGCTCAAACGGGCTGGTTTCAGATCTGAAGGGACCATGTAGGTCCTTGGTTGAAGCATGAAAGTAAGTAAATGAGCTGGATAATGGGGAAAACAAAATCCAGAGAAAATGCATTCTCGTGTCGCTGCGGCCGCCATTGACAAGGCCACGGAGGAAGGGAGGAGGTCAAATTGTTCCATCTTTACCAGCCTAGGCTCGATACCAACAAAACAGTTAGGTTGGCAGTCACACATTTGCTCTCAGGTTGATTTCCCCTTCGCCTTTATCAGCTGAGTGTATTATGCCACCTCGTTCCCGAGCCTGACAATAATCTGGCCAGTGTGTGATTATTTCCGAAGGAGAAGAGCTTTTTTGTTACAGATATATATTGGCGGCTACATCACAAACAGGAAAATATCCTGACCCACGGACCATATAATAATGACAAAGTATTGTGAAGAGCTGAGATTTGATTTATTAATAGATGTAGCAATATAAAGTATCGGCTCTTTGACTGCGAACATTGTGTTAGCGGATCTTCGTGTCCCATTTCCCAACTGCTTGTCTTGTAGGTCAACTGCTTAGTCACAGTAGCCACAGACTAACTACTAGAAATACTCATCTTTGAAGGATCATGGGGCGGTGCATGAAATGCAACACAATCTCAGAGTTGATTTCCCTTCGTAGTGTGGCTCCTACATCCTAGATAAACACAGATCAATTTCAAGAGCAGCTAATCTTATTGGTGATAAATCATGGCTTAGCCGCTGCACCGCCTCGTAATCCACGTACTGACTGGGACGGAGCCCCTGAATTTCACCAAGTTCCGTGCTGAGCCGTGGCTCCTTCCATCATTGTCAGACGGCCCCGCCATTGCGACTGAGATTGCGAACGCCAGTCCTTCGTATATAAGACCACCTCACCTGCGCCTCGCCCTTTCATTTTCCTTATTGTGTATTGCAATATTTCATCCATCGAAGACAAATTACTCACTATCTCGCTCTCATCACAATGTCTGATCCATACAACAACCACTACAATCAATACGGTGCCCCGCAGCAAGGCCATGGCCAGCCCAACGACGGATACTACGGAGGTCAACATAACTACAACTACCCTCCTCCACAAGGCCAGTACGGGCAGCCTCCGCAGCAACATGGGCACTATCCACCTGGAGTAAGTATTCTTTGATCGAATCATGTTTCTGAAACTTATTACACGGTCAATGATTGGTTTCGTCGCGCCGTTACTTGAAGACCCCTTCGTGAGCTAACTTTCCTGGTTCGATAGCCTTCCTACGACCAGCAACAGCACCATCCTCAATATTCCGGTCCTCCTCCTTCATACGGCCAACAGGGGTACCCGCCTCAACATGGCGCTCCTCACCAGCAGGGCGGGTACCCAGGTGATCAAAACTACGGGCAAGGCGCGCCCTTGAACTATCCGCCACACGACCGCGGTCACTCTCCGTATGCCCCCCAGCAGCAACAACACAATCCCCAAGGAGCAAGCGCATCTTACTATGGCGCTCCTCACCCGGAACAACACCACCAGGGGGCGCATGCTCCTGTTCCCGTCGGACAGGAGGGCGAAAGGGGCCTGGGCTCGACCTTGCTTGGAGGTGCTGCTGGTGGGATTATAGGCAAAAAGCTCGGTGGTGGACTTCTAGGCGCTGCAGGAGGAGCACTAGCAGGCGCTGCTGGAATGAACATGGCCACGAAGATGTAAGGCTCAGCACTTTCTTTGACTGATCGTAATAGACTCTAACTTTCGAATAGGACGAAGAAGCACAAGAAGGAGAAGAAACACCACAAGGGCCACAGGCGTGGATCGAGTTCTAGCTCTAGCTCGAGCTCTTCTTGATTAGTTCCCTTGGTCACCCGAGCGCAAGTTCATTTTTGAATTTTGCCAACCTTGTTCGCTGCAAGTCTAGCTACGACAGTTACGATGATACCCTGTTGTGCTCTAAATGAACAAAACAGCCGAAGATGAAGATGGTGTTCCCTGGCGTTTTCTGTATTCTTACATCCGTATAGTTGACAGACTGTTAACAGCTTATCGTTCATCCAAACGTATATTCTCCATTATATCATATTCACGTTCGTAATCAGCTTGAGAAGCTGTTGACATCGGCCAGCTCTTACAGAGGTATTTGATCCCCAGAATGATGACAAGAGAATGCTCAGCGTATCAAGCATTCTCGTTGTTGCCACACCATAACGCCTGGACCGAATCGGTCCCGCTTCGGTAACTACAGCCTATTCCTGTGGAACGGCAGCAAAAGCGTCCCATTTAAGGGTCCAGAATGAGCGACGTCAATGGCTTTGTTGGCGGTAGAATCGGGAGATGTTCTAGAAGTTAGCTTGGAAGCTCCGCAGAAAACTTGGGTGGCAAATCGTACGCTCTATGGTTGCGATTTATGCAGACTCTAACGGATAATCCACCGAGCGTCGACCACGAGACTGGTTACCACCATTCATTTGAATTTCAGGTTTATCCTATTGCGTCTCTTTCTGGTGTAGGATTACTGAGTCAAGACGTAATAAATGTGTAGGTGGGAATGGTGGCGAGCGGACAGCTGACTCATGCTCTGTGACATGGCTGGATGACATGTTATATAATCTGATTGGACATGATGAGTTTGATTATCGGGGGCTGTAGGAATGAATCAAGTTGCAGATAGTGATGATACCGAGGAACTGGGCGACGTCCTCGATGTCGAGGTTTGACTGTGGTGCAGGAGATACAAGGGTTTACTTCGGAAAAAATGTTCTGGGCTTCTCTATGCTTGACGAGCAAGGACGAGATCCGATCGGAAAAATTCATGGGATTGGCAACGGAGGAGGCAGAAAAATTTCCCCAAAATCATGATAACGGGACAACCAAGTGAGACAAAAATTTGAGGCAAAGTTTGAACAGACTAAGGCACTGAAATCTACCGAAGTCCGAAATGCCTTTCATGGTATTGAAAGAACAATAATCTTGAGGTTAAAGTTTTTGACCCACACCGGCTTGCCACCTTCTCCGGCTTTTTTCGCGGGGGATAAGGCAGGATCAGGATCTCAATCCGGAGATTCTGATAGCGATAACGAGGCGCCCTGGGATCGAAAATATCGAATTCCGATACTCGATAAGCAACGATAAGGGATAAGGATGGATTTCTGATTTCCGAAGTAGGTAGTATCATTGGTGGTTCGTTGCTTTTGAGTAATCAAATTTCAGGAGTCATCTGCAATGCACCTATGATTTTTTGGCAAGGGGAAGGAGACCACGTAAACCAACCATAAAGTTCAACCTAGGAGCAGCCAGTTTGATAAATTGGTCGAGAGGTTTTACTATGCTATGCTACATGCCAGATAACAGATTAAGCGGTGAGATTCGTTCCTTTTCCTTGTCAGGGAAGAATGGCGGTGATGCTCATCCATGCCTCCTGTAAGCCATCGTTTCAGACGTTGGGAAATGAACGAGTAGCAAGCTGCTTCGTATGAACCCCAGACTATCCCTGAATACGTACGGAGTACTCTTGTCTCTTTTGTGCTTGTCCCCTTTCCCTGTAATCTCGGTTGCATTTTGACTTTCTGCCTTCTTGTCGATAAGGGGCCGGTCCCCTCTCATATATTTTCCTCTACGATCCTCTTATGAAGGCAATGCAAGGAATTATACTGGCGTAGAATGTTGATCGAGCAGAGAGTTCAGAAATAATAATGATAATCCAAGCTTGCGTTCCTTGAATTTTCCAGTTCCACCGCCTTGTTATCGTAATCGTGCGCTTATCGTTATCTAGTCAGAACGGCATGGCATGGACGGAGTATCTACGGAGTACAACAAAGAGTATCAGCTTAGCCATCATCTTACTCTGCGGGAATGACCGGCAAGAGCGGATAAAGCGACCGAATGGAGAAGGCTTTCCCAACTCTAAAAATAATCTTTGTTTGTCGTCGTCATTTTGCTGGCCTCCCAGACTTCCACATGTTTTTGGTACAAAGACCGAGCCCAAAGGCTAAGTAAGAATCGGCTGCGCCACCAAGTCAAGGAACAGTAGAGGATCTTTGTGGCGACAGAAATAGTCCCAGCAGCATCTGCAGCCCCAACAATTTCACGGAGACTAGTCAACTGCAGTGGTTTACTGTTGCATCCCCGGATTCACACCTGTCAGGGACTAGAACTTCTAGCCCAACAGCGCAAATGCTGATCAAGGGATGCGCAGCATCCGGTTTTTCAGTATATGAAATACTCATTGCTGTCCATCGTCATATTCAAGCCCCCGTAAGCCTGCTCAGCTCGTTGTTAATTAAAGAATGGTAACTGTACTTCATTTGATTTTCTGCCCCGGGTTTGTGCAAGTGTTGTACATAGATTCCATCAGCCTTGTAATAATCATTCATTAGAAGAAAGGGGCTACAGGCTGTTGCTCAACCTTCAAACTATGATTGGCTGGAAGTACCTCCATATTTCAGAATTATTCGATCCATTCATTATTGAAGTTGCCTCCTAAGGCCAAGTTACATTCCACTAATCTTATCGATTTCCCATTATCACACCACTGAAAGATCATAAAAGTTTTCTATGCTAATAGAACTTGAGCGAAGTTTTTCCATCGCATCGAATAAAAAAACCGGAAACTCTGAAAAAGAACTTTCAGTATTCGGTTTGTCCGATCCAAATTGATGAGTGAGCCAGAAAGGAAAAAGAAAAAAGGTTCCAGTCAAAAATCATTCCATCAACTGGGTTCCTCTCCCTGTCGCCATCATGGAGGGTTGCTGGCCAATCAGAAGCGGCAAGATTAGCCCGAAGGAAGACACGGACCCTATCGGGTTGGTTGCTTCGACAGCCAAAGCGGCTAGTGTAAATGCGGTCTTAGCGCGGGACAACGATGAAAAATTTTTATCGTCGCAATTTTTTTTTTTTTTTTTTTTCGCTGCACTGTAAGGTTGGGCGGCAAAAAGAGGCCACAAACCGATAAATATCAACCCTCCCCATCCTCCTATTCCACTCTTCCTTCTCACTTTGTCTCCCTCCTCATCCTTTCTTCTTCTGAAAAGAGGTCTAGTCCTCTCTTTACTTTTCATTTTCCTTTTTGTCTTCTGTATAGACAAAAGCATAGATTTTATCTAGAGCGTCTCTTGCGTCGTCTTTTACACAGACGCAGTTTTCGTGGGCCGCCACCTCTTGATTGAGATACCCTAATAGAACGCCCGTTCTTACTTATTTTCCTCATCACTTAATTCTTTTCAACCTTTCTCGTCTTCACGATTTCGTCCAAAATGCCTGCTGTTGATGTTTCTTCCGTTCCTGCCGTCTCTGGCAAGGAGACTGCCCAGGCTGTCGCCGTTCTCGAGGACTTGATCAAGAACCTCAACATCTCGACAAGCGCTGACGAGGTTCACGCTGCCACTGGCAACCTCGCCACCTACTTCAGCGGTCCTATCCCTGAACAGACTCTACCTCTCAAGTAAGTTTGATTGCATGTTTTGCGAAAATATCTACATGGACTAACGTTCGCTTCACTCAGGGCTGTCGAGGCATTCCAGAAGCAGCTCAACAACAAGAAGGATGCCACTGCTCGTGAGCGTGCTTGCGAGGCCATCCGCGCTATCGCCTCCCACCAGACCATCGCTCCCGGTGTTGAGCCCCACCTCGTCTCTCTTCTCGGCCCCGTCCTCGCTGCTGCCGGTGACAAGATGACTGCCGTTCAGAAGGCTGCCCAGTCTGCCGCCCTCGCCATCGTGCAGGGTATCAACGCCAACGCTGTTAAGGCTGTTGTGCCTGTCATTCTGAACTCCCTGCAGAACGCCCAGAAGTGGCAGGAGAAGATGTGCGCTCTTGACTGCCTCAACTGCCTCGTCGAGTCCGCTCCTGCTCAGCTCTCCTTCCGTGTGCCTGAGCTGATCCCCGCTGTGTCTGAGGCCATGTGGGACACAAAGGCCGACATCAAGAAGGCTGCCTACTCCACCATGGAGAAGGTTTGCGGTCTGATCGTCAACAAGGATATTGAGCGCTTCATTCCCGAGCTCATCAAGTGTATCGCCAAGCCTGAGAACGTTCCCGAGACTGTTCACTTGCTCGGTGCCACCACTTTCGTTTCCGATGTCACTGGCCCTACCCTCGCCATCATGGTCCCTCTGCTTGACCGTGGTCTCGTCGAGCGCGAGACTGCCATCAAGCGTAAGTCCGCCGTCATTGTCGACAACATGTGTAAGCTCGTGGAGGACCCCCAGATTGTCGCTCCCTTCTTGCCCAAGTTGATGCCCCGTCTCGAGAAGAACTTCGAGACCCTTGCCGACCCCGAGGCCCGTGAGAAGACCAAGCAGGCCTTGGACACCCTCGTCCGTGTTGGTGATGTTAAGGATGGCAAGATTCCCGAGATCTCGACTGCCGGTGACGTTGAGACCGTTGCTGGTATCCTGAAGGATATCCTCTCCCCCAAGTACAAGGCTCAGATCGAGAAGTCTGAGGCTATCATCAACTATGTCGGTGCCATCGCTGGTCAGCTCGTTGATGAGAAGGACGCCGAGGTCATCAGCTGGACCCAGAACGCTCTTCCCTACATCACCGCCATTGTTGGTGAGGAGGAGGCCAAGGCCATTGCTGAGACTCTGCGCAAGCGTGCTTCTCCTGGCGCTGCCGACGCTGATGCCGTTCTCTCCGACGAGGAGGAGGGCGAAGATCTCTGCAACTGCACCTTCTCTCTTGCTTATGGTGCCAAGATCCTGCTGAACCAGACCTCTCTCCGCCTGAAGCGTGGTCAGCGTTACGGTCTTCTCGGACCTAACGGTACCGGTAAGACTACTCTGATGCGTGCCATCAACAACGAGCAACTTGAAGGCTTCCCCAAGAAGGACGAGGTCAAGACTGTCTACGTT